TGATCTGTGAGAATATTTTTATTAGTTTGTTGTTGTATATCTATATTTGGGTTAATTGTATCAGATATTGATATAATATTAGCAATTTTTGGGAATAAGCTAGAATTTTTCTTTTTTTCAAAATTTTTTCCTTCAAAAATTGTGTTTATAAGAGTTGTTGTAGTATTAGTAATATTGTCATTATTAATTTTGTATTTTCTTTTCATTGTTAGTTTTTCCATACTATCATAGTTCTCTGTATAGAGGTATACTATTTTTCTTGTTCTTGTTTAGGAGCTAGTTGAAACTCTGCCTAGGTTTTCATTATTAGTTTTAGTAGTTGCTGACTTAGTTAGCAATAGTATTAAAGAAGTAGTTGAAGTGCAAGCTACTACTTCTCTGTTATGTTTAATTTTGTAGTAGTATTTGTTGTTGTTGGATGTTGAAAATTATATAGTTATTTAGTTATAATAGTTAGACTTTGTTATAAAAAGTTTCTTTTTCTTTCTCGTATTTGTTTGTTTATAGAAAATTGATGTATAAGAAAGAGTTTTTTTTCAAACTTTTTTGTAGTAATTTTTACTTCTAATTTTCTAGTTTTAATTATAGCTTTAGTAAGATTATTAAGTTTAGATATTAACAAATAAATAGCAATTTTACTATATAACTTATTAAAGAATATTTTTATTATATATAAAGCTATTAGAATCTATTTTAATTAATAATTATTAGAACTTATAGATATAAGAGTTTACCTATTTGTTATCTTTTCAAATAAATTTTTTTATTATTTATAACTTTTTTTAAAATAGCAAAATATTTAATAAAGATAATTATAAAACTAGCTCTTAGTTAGCTATTGTAATTCTAGTATTATATATTATTTTTTTTGCTTTTGTACTAAGAAGCTATAATACTAGTTAAATATTCTAATACTAATTTTATTTTTTCTATTTTCTGTCTAATTACTAGTATTAGTAACTTGTTTAAAAGCTTTTATCTATTTAATAAAGTTCTTATTTTCTTTTTTTTTAAATAACTTGAATCTAATTTTTTCTCTAGCTAAAATTTTTTTAGTTATTTTTTTGAAAGCCTTAACTAGTTGTTTAAGAAGTTTTAAGTATTTTCAGATTCTTAATAAAGTCTAAGGTTTTCATAATTTTGATTTCTATTTGTAGCTTAACTTTTAATAATTTTATTATCTTCAAAGTTATTAAAAATTTTAAATTTTTTTATAACTTATTTTTCTTTTAGATTAAATAAGTATTTTAGTTAAATATAAAGATGATATTTTTAGATAATCAGAATTATAATATTTTTAAGTAATTTCTACTAGTTGAGGTAAGTATCTTGTTTAGTTTAATCTTATAGTTATTACTAATTTAAAAAGTCTAAACTAGTTCTAAACTAAATTTGTTTAGAAGCTATGTTAGCCAAAGATTTGAGTTTACAAACAATTACTATGAATTTAATAATTAACCCTAAGTTAAAAGGTTAAAGATAGTGAAAAAGATTTGGTCTGGATTTTAGAACTACTTTTAGATTATTTTGTATTTTCTAGTTATGTGTTCTTCTGAGTCTTTACATCCTTTTTATGTTTCTTCTCACTTTCTTTCTAATTATAATCTACTTCTTTGATGGAATTCCAATAATTATAAAAGTTCTTCACAATTGTCATGTAATCTGAGTCTACTTTACTATTAGCAAATTATTCAGCAATGGTAATCTTAATTGAGGAGTTTATTTCTAAACAATATCAGAGTGAATGTTTTACTGATTTGGTAGTTCCTTCTCTTAATTTGTAGCATGAAACATTTACTATTACAGAACAAGACTTGGGTGTGGTTTATCAGTAACGATATTTTAACAATAGGGAACTTAGAACACAAGAATTCTACTCGAATTTCGAAGTATTGGTTCTCAAATACTGAACTTATTAGAGTCTTTGTTTTAAACTCTGAAAGTTAATTTTTTATTGAGGCAAATTCGAGTCACTTATATACATAATTTTTACTAATACAGGATAATAGAGATATTGCAAAACAGAGGAAAAAGAAGGATCCGATGGATCTGGGAGATCCTGGAGATCCGGACTAGGATTTCTAAGATTCGACGGATCTGACAAATCCTAGAGATCTCAGTTAAGGATAGTTGGGATTTTAAGGATTCGGGAGATCCTAGAGACGGGAAGGCGAAGTAATTTTGCGAAGCCCCGAAGATCTTCAAGTATTTCGAGATAGTGTAACCTCAGATTGGTAGTACTTCTGGAGTGGTAAGTTTTGCCCTTTACAACGTACAGTACGTATAGCACTGTACGCGGCACATCACTAATCATATAAGTGGTCAAAATGAAAAACATTTCTAATCCAATCAAATTTCAACAAATCATAGCAATGCGGATAGTTATTCCTTTTACCAAAATCATTCCACTTTCCATATTAAGAAATTATTAATTATATTTTTGCGTAAATCATCTTTCGGTGATATAAAATGGATTTTCTTCATCTGATGAATTAAAAATCTTTATAGTTTAATTCATATACAGTACATAGCGTGAAGAAAAATTTTGAGGACGTTTCAGATACATCATTTCAATATCATTATCATGCAGCAATGTTTAAGAACATATTTGCACAACATAAAACAGATTCCTTTGTTATGAAGGTTAGTATTTTTTTCCTCGGTCATATATATTGTGAAGTTTTTATCAATTTCCTATCGCATTTCATTATTATTAACTGTAGAATTCACCTCAGAACTTCAAATATTGGAATTACCAATTAACATTTAATTATATCTTCAATGCAATATGGTCCGTGAGAGTTGAAGAAATGCTTATTTACCGCAAATACTGCCATGGGCATTGTATAAAGAACTTGAACTCCCAAAGAATCGCTCTTGAATTAAGCGCATTGGCCATGTTCACATATATCGTGTCGTTATTATAGATGCCTGACGAAAATCACGTGACCTGACGAAACTTATGGTTTCGTCAATTTCGTTAATGACGAAACTAAGACGAAACTTATGGTTTCGTCAGTGGCATCAATTTCGTCAGGCATCTATAGTGGTTATACAATGTACCGGATTGTACATAACGTATTTTGCGAAATAACGGTCCGAATTTAGGCCGAAATTCGAAATTAACCCCGAACGTTATTTAGCGAAAATACGGTAGCTATTATTTAATTTTGTTTGATATTTTTTGAAAATATTCGATAATGAAGTTATAAAAACAGTACAAGTTTATATATTTATAAAATTGTTTACAGGAAGAGTAAGAAGACAAAGTTAATGACCTCGAATTTATTCTCAGAATACGCTGAGATCTTGTCATCGGTAAATTGCACATAAAGTCTAAAGAAAAAATATTCATAAAGAGTAAAAAATTTGACAAAAAAATATGGGAATGAGGTTTCCAGAAAAGATTGTATGGAGCTACTTAAGGTAAGTAAGATGAGGAGTAAAAAAAAAAAATTCTAATGTTATCAACATGTAGTTACAAATTTACATGTTCACCAGAACTCTCTTAGGATGTTCGGAACAAAAAGGTATAATTATATGCAGATAATCTTTATAGAAGAGAAAGTGGCAGTCAATGTTGAGACGAATGTTAAACGAGTCCAGCCTGATTCTTACATATTATCATTGTAAATTACATTCTCCTCATTAAATACAAAATAGTCAGACAAATTTTCATCTCCATTATTATAGACGGAGTTAGCGACAGGTAGTGTATAATATTGCGATAAATAACCCGATTGAGTGACAGAATTTGTGAAAATAATAGGGACGGGAGGTACGTAAATGGATGATACAGCAGATAGAGCTAAGAGGGTTTTGATTTTTTCTTTTTAAAAAAAATTAAAATTAAATAATCATTAATCGAAAAATAATAACAGTAAGCCTGAAAAATCTTACCTAGTGAAATTTCAAATTTAAATTCATCACCAAAATCAAGGTACACTTTACCATCTTCTTCAATAAAGTTATATTCAATAGGTGGATCTAGTAGAATAATTAAATTATGAAGGGATACAATACAGATAAAAATATAGTATTTGATTAAGTTTCTACCTTTCATGGTCACCTTACAATTGGCGCATTGAGGAAACTGATCTTCTCTGTCCTTATTTTTTTTATAGCACTTCATGCATTGGACCAAACACTCTGTTTGTCTCTTCTTACACCTGTCGCACCTATACTCTCCTTTACGTTTGCATCGTTTTTTTTGCTTATAGCAACAAGCACATATGTTGGAAAATTCCATTATAGATTCTAGTATCGTTCATAAAGAAACAAAGAAATTAAAGTGCAGATTTTAGTTTCTTCTAAAAGTGTCATACTAGGTAGATCCTTTGAACACAAAGCATAACATTCCGACAGTTGCCGCTTGCAGGAAAATTTTGTAACGATTGCCACATTTCTATAAAATTAACAATCTAAGACTATCCAATTATTTCTTAACATCAAAAATTTAATACTACGGTGCGATATTTTTTTTACAAAAAATTGTTTGTAACACATGATATTTTTTAGGAAAACCATTTAAATAAAGCAAACCCCAATTAATGCTTTTAATTTTCCTAGACTGAAATCAATTTACTGATTATAAATTAATGCAGCTCTTTGCTCTTTATTTTCGCTTAATCTTGAAAAGTCGAAATCTACCATTCAACGCAGTATGAATCATATTGAATTTCAGAAAATTCACACGGCATGTATTTCTTGCAGAGAATCAAAGAGAAAATGTATAGTTTATCATTCACATCCAATATGTGAAAGGTGTTTAAGGAATAATTTACAGTGTATTTATCCAGATAGAAAAAAAAGTGGACCTAAAAAGCAACAAATGCCAAATCAATCGCATTTCACAACTAATCCCCAATTGCAGAGTGAAACTGGCATTTTTATTAATTTACAAGTTAGTGCTCGTTTTAATTTGAGATTTGATGCTGCACCATTAATTAATATAAATCTTATTTAAATATCAAAGATTCCAAGCAATTCTGTAACGGTGGAGCACTCAATGACGCCATACATGCGAATTTTAGCTACTTCTACGCTTGACAATATAACTCTACAATTTGTTCAAAATTGTTATGGAGTTTATTACGTTACTGTCATGCACAATAGTGTAGTTTTCAAAATTCCAGACATTAACGAATTTGGAAACGGAAAACGTCCTCCTACCAGTTTTATAATTTTTCGAAATATTATGCAATCTTGTATCATATCAATGAGCTTAAGAATTAATCGCTGTAATTTATCGAAACATAGTAGCCGAATTTGGAAAGAGCTAAGTATTAATGACCCATCGCTTGTGTATTCGCTTAAAAGCCTTGCTAACGATGCAGCACGAAGGTTTAACAATATGCATTTAAGGATTAGGATGGTATGTGCACCCGACTCAGAAAGAATCATTATCAAATCTCAAGAAATAGGTGCTCACTCATCAACATTAGTAGTGCAATCTCTTGATCAAAATGAATCTGAAATCAAATCTCTTTTAGATGAGCTTTTCCCTTCATTGTTTTAGAAGTTGATAATAAGGCAGCAAAGTTAATTTTTTGTTTTCCATTACCTGGTCTTCCAAAATTCCGGTCGGACGGTCGGATTTTTTTTTTTTTTTTTTTTTTTTTTTTTTTTTTTTTTTTTTTTTTTATTTTTTTTTTTTTTTTTTTTTTTTTTTTT